TGCAGAGGGCTGTCCACCACGGCCTCACCCAAGTCGCTGCAGGTTCTAACGAGCTTCAGTGTCAGTTCTGCTCCTAACCAGGCCGTCCCAGCTTTTCCCTCTCACCCAGCCTGCTGATCGCTCAGATGGTGGTGTTTCCACACAGGTGGTGGGCTTATGGGGACCGTGCAGCATCCGGCTGGCATGGCCCTTGCTTGCCTATCCTTGTCTTTACCTGCATGTTCTCCAGTTTTCCTTTGGTCAAAATGGGCTCCTCTTTTTCTCTCAAAGCTGGGTCCTCATTGGGCCCTTGCTGACCACCGGCATGGGGACACAGTGTCCTGTCAGCACCAGCCTGTCGGTGCTAGTGTCCCTGGGGTCTGGGCTGACACGGTCACTCCTCACAGCCTCCCTGCTGCACCCTTCCCTCGTGGCCTGTGCTGGTCTCTGAGCCCCTGCGTCTGTGGGCTCCTGGCCTGTGGTTCTGTGCTGCTCGCTGGCTGTGTCTGGCCAGGCTCTGCTGTCTTCATGCCACCTCAGTCTGTCCTCCACTGCTCCTCCCGCCTCTGTGATTGCTGCCATCTGCCATGTGCCCGCTCCCTCGTCTTTACGCTGTGGTCACTAGACTCGTGCAGTAGGTGGATTCCTGTGTGAGGCTTCAGTGTCTTAATGGGTGCGTTTGTTTGACGGGCAAAGACTTAATGGACAGGCTTATGCGTATTTTCCTTTAACAAGATACCTGCAGAAGAAACTTTCCGGCCACCCCAACATTGTCCAGTTTTGTTCTGCAGCGTCCATAGGAAAGGAAGAGTCGGACACGGGGCAGGCTGAGTTCCTGCTGCTGACGGAGCTCTGTAAAGGTAAGGTCTGCCTTGTGTCTGAAGGGCTGTCGCGTCACGGGTCCCCATGTTTGTAAGGTGCAGGCAGCATTCCTGGTGTCTCCTCTCAGACGGCGCTGCCTGGGCGGTGCAGGTGGTTTTGTGATCGGCTGCTAACGTAAAGGTTGGTGGTTCAGATCCATGCAGCAGTGCCACGGAGGAAAGGCCTGGGTGATCTGCCTCTGCAGAAGTGACAGCCAAGAGAGCCCCGGGGGCGGGGTGTTCCGTGGGCTCGCCGTCAGTCCACATCAACTCTCTGTGACAGTCTGTTTGGGTTTGCTTTCTCTCGAACATGCTGATCGTGCTGAAAAGCATGGGGTGGGGCTGTGGCCTTGAGTCAGAAAGAAGGGGGCTCTCAGTCATTAACAGGCTGAAGCCTTGGAGGAGAGTTCAGGGCAGAGCACGTCTAGGGGGAGCAGCAGGTGGCGCCGAGGGGTGGGAGGGGTCGGGAGAGGCTGTGTCCCGCCGGTGCAGGGTCCAGCGCCTGCCAGGGAAGCTGCCTGCACAGTGGGCATGGTAACACCTGCTGAATTCTCAGCAGCCTGTTCTGAGGGGCTGCTTGCTCGTGCTGATTGAGGTGATGTAGCAGTGAACCCGGGACAGAGGACTGCCTTTTGTAGCGCATGGTCCAGAGGGCTGGAGAGTCCTGGGACTGGTGGAGAAGGGGCATCAGAGGTGTGGGGCGGGAGGCCCGGAGGCTGGGGGATGTCCTTTGGAAGGCGCTGTTTGCACACAGCCCTGATGGAAAAAAGGGCGTCCAGCAGGGACGATGGCTGGAAGGCCTGGGGGTGCAGAGGGGCGGAGTGAGGGGGGCGGGGAAGGTGAGACCCAGCCCCACGGTCCTTCCCAGGCTGCCTGTGCTGGAGAGGAGCATGTCCACAGGTCACTAGGGAGCGAGTGGGAGGAGGGGGCCGTGGCTGCTGCACAGGACCCTAAGGGTGTGAGCCGACTGGAACCCCCGAAGGGCAGGCAGTCAGCTGGGGCAGAGCCAGGTCCTGCGTGGGGGTCTGCTTGGGGCTGGGAGGTACCTAGTTGGAGCAGGCCTGGGAGCCAAGGAAAGAGGCTCCAGGCAGGGCGTGTACATGGTGCCGGGGGGA